ACATTTTAATCTACAGATAACAGCAAGGTAGAATAATTAGAAGTTTATAACTTATATATGAGGTTTGATATGGATACTTTTAGTTTTTATTTCTTTTCCCAAAGTTTCATAGGACTTTTTCCAAAAAAGCTATACATTGAGTCAATGTTTCCATTATCAAATAAAATGAAATTATCTACTCTTAAGTTTATTTTTCTAAAGTGGTCTCCCCCCCCACCAAAAAAAAAAAAAAAAAAAGGACAACTGCATAACTGGCTAGAAGCATTCCTGTCAAACAGACAACAAATAGTCAAAATTGGGAGCATCCTATCAAATTCTGTACCTATCAACAGTGGTGTCCCCCAAGGCAATGTTCTAGGACCAACTCTCTTCATACTCTACATAAATAATCTCTGTGATCATATTAAGAGCAACTGCATTCTCTTCGCTGATGATGTAAAGCTATTCAATACCACAGACAATACTGCTACCTTTCAAAAAGACTTCAACTATGTATCAGAATGGTCAAACAAATGGCAACTTCAAATCTCAACAAATAAATGCTGTCTTACATATTGGCAAAAAAAATCAGAAAATAAAATACAAGCTGAATAGTGAAGACCTTGATGATCCAAACTCTGTCAAGGACCTTGGAGTTCTCATCTCTAATGATCTAAGTGCTAGAGCCCACTGTAACTACATAGCCAAAAAGGCATTAAGAGTTGTTAACCTAATCCTACATAGCTTTTTCTCTGGTAATATCACATTACTAATGAGAGCATACAAAACATTTGCTAGACCAATACTCGAATACAGCTCATCAGTCTGGAACCCGCATTATGTATCTGATATTAACACAGTTGAGAAAGTCCAGAAATATTTCACAAGAAGAGTTCTCCACTCTTCTAATCATTGCAGAATACCTTATGCCACCAGACTTGAAATTCTAGACCTAGAAAACCTAGAACTATGCCACTTTCGGTCTGATCTAAGCATAGTATATAAAATCATACATTGCAATGTCCTACTGTCAATGAATACTTCAGCTTCAACCATAACAATACAAGAGCACACAATAGATACAAACTCAAGGTTAACCGCACCAAACTTGATTGCAGGAAATATGACTTCAGCAACAGAGTGGTCAGTGTCTGAAATACTCTACCTGACTCTGTGGTTTCTTCCTCAAACCCCAAAAACTTTAACCTTAGACTGTCTACTATTGACCTCACCCCTTTCCTAAGAGGTCTGTAGGGGGCGTGCATAAGTGCACCAACGTGCCTACTGTTCCTGTCCTATTGTTTCTTTTTATTTTTTTCTTATATGTATCCATTTCATATATTCATACCTATGTTTATACTTATACCTATTATCTTGCAAGCGATTGACAAATCAAATCAAATATTAATTAAAATGGAGTGCTAAAAATACACGGTTAGGTTAATCTAGATTAGTTAGATGGCAGCAACTGCAGGTAGTCCTTCAGTTATGACTGTAATGCAGCCTGCAGATCATGGTCTTAACTCATGACAGTCATAAATATAATCACCCTTGTGACCAACCCAATTCTACAACCTTTTTTGCAGTGCTCATTAAGGGTTTATTAATTATATGAATATTTTGCTATGGGCCAGTTTTGCCAAAAACTAGAAGTAAATTCTGGCTTTCAACAAAACCATTGTAAAACATGGACACACAACCCAAAATTCAGGCACATGACTGTGGGGTGGGAGAAGCTGTCAGAATTTTGAATCTGGGTCTTAAGTGCTCCCAGAAAGTGTGTCATAACTTTGAATGTTTGCTAAACAGCTGATCATAAGTTGAAGTAACTGGTAACCAGTAACCACTCTGGGCTGTAGTCCATAAATATATCAGTGTTGGACTGATTGGTTCTTCAATAGGAGACTATGGAAATCTATGGAACATATACTAGATAGGGAAATTGGGGGAGGGGAGTGGAAATCCCAGATGACAATAGCAAAATACAAACCAAAATAATTCTTCATTATGCTACAATGTCTTGATTGAAGCAGTGCATTATCTAATAACATGTATTATCCATATATTGAAATGTGAAACATCATCTCAAGCATGAATGCAATACCCCAAACACACTGCTGAGTGTAGTAAACTCTTTCTATAAACTACCTAGGTTTATAGAATCTTAGAAATGTCTTTGTTATTGGCAATACATCTTCAGAAGAAAAGTTTACAAGGTTTGGTCAAAATGTTCAGTTTCTTATCTTGTTGGTTGTATTCTTGACAACTGAAAATTTGCTTAGATGTGATTTTGTTTTAGCGCTCTATTTAACTCAGTGATGGCTAACCATTTCATCGTCTCATGCCAAAAGTGCGCACACACATGCATGCATGCATGCACCCATAATGGAATGCCTGTGTGACTCCCCCCCGTGCATGTGCATGCAGGCCCCCTGTGCATTCATGCATGACTTCCTATGCGCACTCCACCCCCTGTGCATGCACATGCATTTCCCATGCATGTGTCTCCCCCGTGCATGCACAGCAGATACCTGACAATCAGCTGGCTGGCAGTGGGCGCACGCATGTGCAATGATCAGTTCTGGGTGACAGCTCTCATGCTCTGCATGCCACTTCCAGCATGCATGCCATAGGTTCACCATCATGGATCTAATTCTTCTGCAGTTTTCTAGGTCAGACCCCACAGGAAAAAAATATTCAAATGGATTGTGCATTGATTTATATTGAGCCTCTTTTACTATTTGAAAGCCCATTTCCTCAATTAGAAATTTATTTTAATAACTTGCCTCTTTGCGTGTTTACCCTAAATCAGGGGTGTTAAACTTGCATTGTCATGGCAGCATTACATGACAGATTGGGACTTTTTCCCCCTTCACTAAACCGGGCAGAGGCGGGGCCAGCATATGACACATTTGGCCCATGGGACACGAGTTTGACACCCCTGCCCTAAATTAATTATAAATAGCAAAAAACCAACAACAACTCACTAGACCAGAGGCCCCCAACCTTTGGGGCATCAGGGACTGGTTCTATGGAGAAAGTTTTTTCTGCGGACCAGAGTGGGGATGGTTTTGTGTGCTACATGCATCCCCCAGATGAGGCTTTTCTTGTTTGTGTGGCCCAGTTGCTGGCATGTCCCAGCCCAGTGCCAGTCCAGAGATCAGGTGTTGGGGACCCCTGCACTAGACTTCTCCATGGAGATAGCTTGAAAATTTTATTACCATCCATTTGAATGCCAGTGACCATTCTTGCAGTGTACCAAATAATTGCTACTGCCTGCAAATTGATGGCTTTGATTATGTTTCCATCATTCTGTTGTTGTTATTTGAACATTACAGTTTTCCTGCCTTAGAAGAGAGAGAAGCCATTGTGGCATGCCTTGAGTTGGTTCCGACATTTCCAATTATTCATAAGCGGTGCTCTTTCTAGTATTTGAGAGACAAAGAAATGTATTTAATTTCAAATACCACAAATACATTTGCAAATCATGAATAATAATTATTTATTTCACTACCACAGGTGAAAATATTGAGAAATTCCCTGATAAGGAAGCCTTGCTTATCAGTTTGATGGCTCTCTTATTCCAAAGCAAGACATATGACATGGAAATCAGAAACCCCTGAGGGCAAGGAAGGAGCTTAAGAGCCTATTAGTTGTTCACGTCCTGTCCATGACTTTATTAAATATTTTACCCTTTGAATCTAGCAGTTTTCCACTGCTCGTCTTCCTCCCATCTATCTATGAAAGTGATTAAAAAATGTTGAAACACATTGCCAAACAACCAAGGAGGCTGCTGCCTTCAAATGGGGACTTCAGCCATTTTCCCCTGTTGTTATAGAGTCAGAAATAAGCAGACAGTTTTCCGGCATCCGACTTAAAGTGCTTATAGCCTGACCTTCACCTGTACACAAGTGTTGCTTCTACTCTGTCCTATCAAGCCAGCTGAAAGGAATTACTGGAGTTGCCAGGTAACCAAACCTAGCCTTCTTGACATATGAGCCAGTTATTAACCTGAACATTTGAGTAGTCTGTCTCCTCAGTTAAATAACAAGTAAAAGGTACTTATCGTTTACAGTGATGTGGCATTCACTTTACCTGTACATCAGACATAGGCTCTATCTTCAATGTCAGAAAAGAGCAGAGTTTTACTAGGAAGACAGTCAAACAGGACAGATGGTGATACGGTTTAATCAGCTTTGCTAAGGGCTAAAAGGAGCTGCGTGAAATGGACAATTGGGGTAAGACACAAAATGCTTTGCAAATTTAAAGTTGTATGTTTCTACCTTTAACGTTTTGAGTATCTTTTTTAAATGGATTAGGTACACATTTATAAATAGATTGCTAGGTGCTTTGCTTGTCGCAGCATAAAGCCAATGATTAAATACTGTATATCTGAAGTGTCTGCATATTTCAGATGCAGAACTGATAAAGTTGCAATTATGCAGTAACTAAGTGGGTTTTAGTAGCTCTACAGCTGGAATCAGAAGAGTTTTTAATGTACAGCAGAATGTGAAGTTGTTTCAGATATTCATGGAAAATTTCAGTTCAAAAATATTCTATCATCTCTCTTAAAACAGTCCTGCTGCATTGGTAAATAAGGATGTTGTATGCTCTCTGTTTGTCTCAGACAGCCATGCCACCTCATTTACATGGTGTTATTGCCATACAGTATAAGTCAAGAGATATACCATTGTAGTGAATATATCAAGATTTGCAAGTGTCTTTTCAGTTTCAGTTGGTTTTCCTTCCCTAACAGATCTAGGTCAGTGTGGCCTGAATTGTATGTATATCTGTATATGGTATAAAGCACCGATTCCCTTTAAATATTTTTTGTATTATTTCTAGATATTACCATGCTCCAAGTATCTGTCACTCAACTTAAGAAATTCAGCACTGCCAGGATTTCAAATTAAGGAGAAATGCTGCATCATCTCTCAACTAGCTGCCCAAGGCCATTTCCACTGATGCAGCGGTCATTATTTATTTAAGGTGCCTTATCAAGAAGCAGCCTGCCTATAAACATGATTTGCCTGGTTCTGCACTGTGGTTTCCTGCTTCATGCCATTGAAACATCCATCACCGTTTATTATACAACCTTACCTCTCGCCAGTTCCCAGGGACATTTCCCAAGTCTTGAAAATGTGGGTGCTTTCAAGAACATTTCCATTGTGCCATCCCAAGCGACCTGTGGACTGCCAGAAAGGAGTACTTTTTGTCAAAGTTCAGCTGTGGTTGAAAGTATTAACTTCTGTATCCGGCAATTTTGCATTCAGAAGTGTCCGTATAGATCATCTCCTGCTTCTTATGCTGCCATTCTCTCAGAAGGCCTGGGCAATGTTATCCAGCAAGATCAAAATGATGTGCCTCCTGGATCTTTTAGCAACACAAGTATTATTTTTCATGGTGAAAAGGATTGTTTTTCCACTCCTCATCCTCGGAAGCTTACTGTTTCATTTACTTTATCTGTATGGTTGAAACCCGAGAAAGAAGGTGTAATGTAAGTAGCTGGCAGATGGTTAGTCAACCAGTAAAATCAGACATGATAATAGACATAATTTCTTTCGAGGTCATATAAAGCGAATGGCACACTAATGTTACAACACTGTTTTTAATGTAATCTTAGAAATACTTCTTGGTACAGGTTTACTGGACTGTTTCGGCAACATTTGTGGATTGTGGATGTTTGATTACACTACATGCCTGCTGTCATTTCTCATGCTAATTACCAAACTTTATTTGTGAACTACTGTTATCATTTCTATTTTAAATAGCAGGTATGGTGTTGGATGAAGGAGAACTAATTAGTCAACAGGTAGCCATGGAAGCTCACTTATAGTAGCTTAAGTCAAAATTAAGCCTCAGTCAAAATTTTTGATGGTTTGGTGATTTGAACAGCTGATTACATCTAGAAGTCTATGGGGACCATCTTCTCTCCCCCTCTTCCATGCTGGGCATTTATGATGTTGAGGTTTTGCCTGCTGCATTCATTGTGGCAGGTGGAAATGTCCATTATAGCAGATGGGAAATTTTTCTGTGAACAGACACAGAATATCTATAGAGATTTTTGGTCATTCAGGTCATGGTTGTCCCAAAGATGCTTTTTCAAGAGGCAACTGGACTTTCTTGTTTTGTTTTGCTTTGAAGATGTTTCGCTTCTCATCCAAGAAGAAGCTTGCTCTTGGATGAGAAGCAAAACATCTTCAAAGGAAAACAAGAAAGTCAGGTTGCTTCTTGAAAAAGCTTTTTTGGGACAGACTGAGAATAGATATAATTTGGCCATGGAAATCCTTCACCTAACCATATAGAAGCCAGCTAAATATAATGGAATATAGATATGAGATCAATATTCTCAGTTGTGCACAATAACCATCTTTGACTGATTATTTTGATTATTGATTATTTTGAGCTTTTGCCTTCTACATTATTATTTAGTGTTGTTACAACTCTATTCATCTTTCCTGTAATCTAGGAATATGGTGTTCTTTATCATTAATTTATTCATTACATAAAATAGGACACTGTCACATCTATTTACTGTTGAGAAGTTTGATAAAATAAGTAATCATCCCTTTGTGTTATGTTTTGGAAAGTGGATGTGAGGGGACATTTTGTGCAACATGGGCTGGGTGGAATGGGCAGGCTGCTTTATTATGACTAAGTCCAGAAGTTGTCCTCTAGTAATATGGGGCATGATAGAATAAGATTTGGGATGTCTCATGTATTCTGGTGAGTGATGTCTGGGGTGCAGTAATAGATTAAAGTGATTATCTTTGTATGGGTTGCTTCCTTCTAGCGAATTAGAAATAGCTATCCATCCACTGACAGTGTAGATGAGGAAATGTTTTAACTGTTGCTCTGTGATCATGGATAGTAGAAAGATTAGGTGCCCACTTTGTCTCATTGACAGAGGCCTATGTTTCAGTTTGCATGCTTGTGTTCCTACCTGTATGCATTTTGTAAGGAAGGATGGGGTTTTTATTATTATTAAAGCCAGCTTTTAGAGTGAATCTCTAGACATAGACTAAGGAAAAAAATTAGGTTCTTTCTCCATTGATTGATAAACGCTTTTGTTGATTAAGACTTCGTTGGTTCTTTATAGCGCCGTAGGACTATATTCAATCCTATTCAAAAAATGATTCAGCAAGGATGTTTTTGAACTTTAATATTAATTGTCTGGTATAGCCATGACAAACATGCGTTTCACTTATTGTTGACCACAAGTAGTGGTGGGATTTAAATTTTTTTACTACCGGTTCTGTGGGTGTGGCTTGGTGGGCGTGGCAGGGGAAGGATACTGTAAAATCTCAAGTCAGAGATGGTATTTGCACAAAATTTCTGCTATCAGTTCTCCAGAACTGGTCAGAACCTGCTGAATACCACCTCTGACTATAAGGCCAACTTCAGTTCTGTTATGTGGTGAGTATATCTTCTGTACAATGCAATGGAACTAATGTGAACACTCTGGGGCTTTTCCTTGTAAAAAGGAAAGATTTGTCTAGTATGACAAAACAGAAGTAATCATTGTCTCCAAAATTCTGCCACATTTTCTCATTCCTATTTTAATGCCTTCACTAGTAAACTAGCTGTCTGTATTTAGGGGATAATTGTTTGTCACAATGGAAGACGGGTATAGATTGGGATGTAAGATTTTTATTAGCTCAATATTTGACCTTGATTTGCCTCAAAAAAGCCCTGACATTGCTGAAGCAGTACACTCTTGATAACAATATTCATAAGATTTTTCTCCACTTTGTGTAGTAAATGTTTTGAAGCTCTTTCCCAAAGTACTTACCTAGTCAATAACATATATGAAATTCACAAGAGAATCCTTACATTCCTTACATTATGATGTTCTTCTGCCTTCATTGCTAGAGATAAGATTTAATAATATTTCCAGGCAAGGATGACCATGTACCTGCTCATTGTGGGTAATAGTATCAGTCTCAGAGATTTTTTTGTGCTATTCTTTCTACTTGAGTTAATGCTCTTTATTAGCAAATACAGTAGAACAGCTGAAGACTTTTTTTTCTTAGCTAACAAGTCATCCCAATTTTCAAAAGGGTTGCCTAGTTCTGCTTTATCATTATTGCCATTTGATGTTCCCTTGTATCTTTATAAACTTGTTTAATGATTTTATATCATTTAATGTATTCATAGGTCTACAAGTGTCTGAAAAGTATAATAGCAATAGCACTTGGACTTATATACTGCTTTACAGTGCTTTAGAGCCGTCTGTAAGCAGTTTACAGAGTCAGCATATTGCCCCCAACAATTTGGGTCCTCATTTTACCCACCTCAGAAGGATGGAAGGCTGAGTCAACCTTGAGCCTGCTAAGATTTGAACTGCCAAATTGCAGTCAGCCAGCAGTCAGCAGAAGTAGCCTGAAGTACTGCACTCTAACCATTGTGCCACTGTAAATGTGCTATTTTGTTATCCTCTTGTTGATTGTAAACCAAGTAAACTCTATATGGATATGTGTGAAAGTGCCCTGTAAATGGCTGTTGCTGGTGGTGGTGAATGGAAGACTGAAGCAGAAATGAGAATGAAGAATCTGTGCCAGCTGATCTAGGTGTTTGCAGGGGTCCACATTGAGTCTCAGAGCCATGGCTGTCTCTTTTGCATGATTGATTTATTGGGAGAAAACTGAACTGTATATGAATGTTTTTCAAGCTTAGGTATAAAAGACTTCAATGAGTGTTTTTTAAAAAAATCATTTAGAGTACTTGTTGATTGTTGAGGACTTATAGGACAAAAACTGTTGTTTTACCCTGCAGCTGGTTAGTGAGAGGGAGATAAATTCTGTAACATCCAGCTTGAACAACCCCATTTTTTTCTTGGTGATTTAGGTAGAAGGAGCTGAGCAATTTCTTGGCTTGAATCCCATTCCCTCCCCACCCCACCAACCTGCTTTCCAGCTCTATTCTCCTGTGCGGGGCAACAAAAGAAAACCCAGCCGATCTGTCTCAGGAGACAGAGAATAGATGGGGATCGGAACCAGTCAGAGGTGGTGTTTGCTGGTTCTCCGAACTATTCAAAATTTCCACTATCAGTTCTCCAGAACTGGTCAGAACCTGTTGAATACCACCTTTGATGTAGTAGTTCTCTCACACAGTGTTGCAAATCAGAGGGAGCCCCCTTGTGGAGTACTGTGAAGCCATTACCATATATAGAGAGGGAGGGAGGGAGGGAGGGAGAGAGAATGTGAACAGCAGTAATACACATTCCAAATATCTCTTTAAGAGAGTTTTGGGGAGTATGTATTTACCAAGTCCCTATACTTGCCATAGAATTCAATGATTCAACAACCCAATGGTTAGCAAAGAGACTAAATTCAATAAATAGGAGGCATTTCCTAGGGCTAGGGAATTGTTAAGTTTCTACATCTTTCACATGGAACACTTATTTACATATTTGATATATTGATGTTCTGATCTTAAAGCAATATATAAACAGAGAAATTAATGGAGTATTTAAAGTAATTAACCATATAAAGGAAGGGGATAGTCCTGCTGGCCCTTAAAGAGGCAAAAGTGCACTCTGTTCTCAAGGATCCATTGCTTGATCAAGTAGTCTGGACAATTCTCATCCATTCTCTGCACTTCCTGTTTTGGGAAACGTTATGGAGAATGTGGTGGTCTTACTGCATTTTCAGAGGCTTCTGGATTAACACATTATATGGATCCCTTTCAGTTAGGATTCAGGCTTGGATATGTGATCAGGATGTTTATTAATTTGATGAAAGTGGAATGAGGGTTGTTCATTCATCTTTACTGTCCTTGACCTCTCAGCAGCTTTCAATACTAATAATTATAGTATCACTTTGGACTGACTCTGGAAGGCTAGGTGAAACTATGTTGTGCTGTTGCTCTTCTTTCCTTTAGGGCTGGTTCCAATCAACATTGATGATTGGAAATGATTCATACTATGGCATCAAATTTTGGGGGTGACACAGGACTTGATTCATGCACTTGTGACTTTCCATCTAGACTACTTTAATGCACTGTACGAGGGTCTGTCCTTGAAGAGTATTCAAAAGCTCCAACTGATGCAAAATGCAGCATCATGGGTAGTAAATGACATATATGACATACATGAGCAGCACTGGTTGCCAGTGTGCTTCTGGATGAAATTCAAGGTGCCGGTTGTCATCTTTCAAGTATTTCCATGGCATAGGACCTGAGAACTTAAGGATCCATCTTGTTCCTTAAGCTGTTTCTACCTCTAGTCCATCAGAACTTACATGTTCCAAGTCCTTCAGACTAAGAAATGTTGATCCCAATGGGTCAGAAGACAAGTCTTTTCTACCATAGTAATAGAACATTGTCCTTCCAGAGAGCAAGTTGTTCCCAACCATGCTGGCCTTTTGTAAGGCCCTAAATACCTAGCTTTGTGTTCAAACCTGTGGTCTCACATCTGTGAAGGGATCCATCCCCTGGTTGTGTTAGTTACTGATGTATGTCTCTAGGCTATGTATTTCAGTTTTTTGTAATTGTCATTTCATTACTTTTATTTTTAAGATTGTTCCATGCCCAGAGTAATTTGCTGAGATCAGAGAAGGGAGAGGATGGAAGGAAGGTGGGAGGGAAGGATGGAAGGCAATAAGTATAATTCAGTGGTCCATGGAAGGCATTGAATTTATGTATGGTACTCTTTCATGAAAATAATTGCAGTATTGTACTCATGAAGCCTCCACTACCACTGCCTTCTGTCATAAGTGTTCCACAAGTGTTAAGAATTAAAATGGAAGTATGGATGGCCAGAGTGAAAAGAATCAATCAATGTGGTTTTTACCTTCATCATTATAACAATGGCTGGACTTCGATAGGACAGAGACATTCTAGTAGACCTAGTTATTAATCTTAGAATTTCTCTTGAACTATAAAATATGGATGGATACATTCATATAATTAAAAGATGCCAACCTGGATTTGAATGATAATTAGTGCTTGGAACAATAATTGAACAGAATGGATTTTTTTCACTTTAAAGAAAAAGCAGACTAGGGCAATAATACATGTCTTAATATGGTAGGAAGATATTCCCTTTCCTATCATACTTTGATATGGAGTCAAACCTTTTTTTGAAAGGTTTATTGTCATTGTTATAGTTATGTTATGTCAAGATTGACATACTTTCACCAGATGGGAAATTAGTTGTAAATCACACATTTGTGAAAACTTTATGGATTTTAAAGTATTATACATCAGGGTCACATCCTCTGTTAAAGGCAGGATACTTGTTGGGGTCCACATATGGAGATATTTGTTTTTAGATAAGCAAAATTAATAAACTTTGGATTATCCAATTATTGTTTATCCAGGAACTGAATAAATCCAGTTCCTAAATATTTTCCTTCTTGGCTGTGCCTTGACAAATATTTGATATTGAAAAACCAACATGTTTACAAGCAGGCAGAATCAGCAGTATGTTAAGAAATGCATTTTTAGCAACATTGCAGATTGCATAGTTCACTTAAAATTCTGTTGACAAATAATTGATGGGATCAGAATCATTACTGAAAGAGAATAATGGTCAAACTTCATTTATCTTGTCTGATTAAAAGTGAGTTAATGACAAACCAGTTTCTGGATAAGAATCGTGACTCTTGTTAACTGAAAACAGTAGCACAGGACTCCAGTGGGAAAACAACAAAGTTCTCTTTGTTATGCCCTTTAACCTTGAACTAATGTAATATTTTAGAAAAGTTGGAACATTTTATGAATAAATGTTTTATTGTTTGCTTGTGTAGCATTGTAATATAAAGGATGGAATCTAGTTACATTTATTTGCTGATCTTGCTCAAATGCAAAGATTTTGTCCTTTTGTGTATTCTTACAAGGGGAATGAATATCTTCCATGGAAGACTGGCTCACCGTTTGGAAGACAATTTTAGGGCATGCAAGGGAAATAGTAATAGCACTTAGAATTATATACTACTTTGCAGTGCTTTACAGTCCTTGCTAAGTGGTTTACAGAGTCAGCCTATTGCCCCCAACAATCTGGATCCTCGTTTTACCAACCTCAGAAGGATGGAAGGTTGAGTCAATCTTGAGCTGGTCAGGATTGAACTTTGGCAGTGAGCAGTTAGCCTGCAATACTGTACTTTAACCACTGTGCCAGCATGATTCAAATAGGCAAATGGAAAGCCTGAATAAAGAAAAGCCTGTTTGTGCAATATTGGATGTGGTGGTATCAGTTTGATAATTGTCAAATTATCAGTATTAATTACCAACTTTAGCACACATTAGGATACATTCATGTGGCCATTGTCTTATTTATTAAATGGCACAGTGAGGTAGTGACTTCATGCAACAGTTGTTGAAAAACAGTAGCTGCAGTTTATTAAGTAACAAAACTGAATAGTGCTACATAAATTGTCCAATGCTGCTCCCCTCCCTTTAAGGTAACATTTTGATTCAGAATAGCATCTCATCATCAATATTGAAGTAAAATTCTGTAGTCAGTCAGCCTTCCTGAGGTCAGTAAAATGAGGACCAAGGTCTGAGTCAGAGCTCAACCTTCTGAGGTCAGTAAAATGAGGACCAAGATTGTTGCGGAAAATATGCTAACTCTGAAAAACACTTAGAGAGGGCTGTAGAGAATTGTGAAGCAGTATATAAGTGCTATTGCTGTATAGAAATGGGATGGAAATAATTTTCTTATTCACCTGAAACAGCTAAGTATCTTTGGTGGGGCCTGAATGAAATATTATGTCTTTTCTTGTATAGCCTACACTTACCCTCAGCAATGCTGGGCTTCTGCAGGAAGCCATGTCTTCCCACAGCTCACAAATCACCTTTCTTAATTATCAACATGGAGTTCAAGTGGTTTTAACCTAAACCAGTTCTATGACCAAGAAGAAGTATAGGCTACCACTACAAAATTCTTGACATATGGTTATCTAAATTCTGCTTAAAGTTCTAAAACAAAGAAAAAATATTTCTCAAAGCAACGTGTCCACTGACACACATTTTTTTAATGAGGAAGTTTCTTCTGATGTGCTTGATTGCAATTTTCATCGTTGATTCTAAAGAGTAGCAAAATGAATGCTAGACTGTCTTATGAATGCCAGTATTCCAGAATTTGGAAGGTTATTATTTTGCTTATCCTTTATGTTCTCCAGACTAAACATACCAAGGATATGTGTAATATACATTAAAAAAACAAAACAAATGGAAATTCAATTGCACCATCAGGGCTGCTATATTGATTTTTTAAAACTCTGCACTGAACCCTGAAAATATTTAGCTCCTTTGTTCATATTAGAATTTTTTGCCATTAATTCTCAGTGTACTGATTACCATTCTGTGCAGATAGCCAAATGTATCACTAACCTTAAATTGTACCAGAAGTACAGTGTTGCTTCCAGTGGTCCAGATATTATGCTTCTGTTAACTGAATGATGGATTGCATTAGCTTTTTTTAGCGCATGTGATATCCTGAAACATCCTGCTTATACAGGGATATTTATTATTAATTTGTGGTACTCTAGCCATTAAGTTATAAAGATCTCTGTTGAAAATATCATCTTATTAATTTTGACCAGTGGTGGGATTCAAATTTTTTTTACTACTGGTTCTGTGGGCATGGCTTGGTGGGCGTGGCAGGGGAAGGATATTGTAAAATCTCCAGTCAGAGGTGGCATTTACCAGTTCTCCGAACTACTCAAAATTTCCACTACTGGTTCTCCAGAACTGGTCAGAACCTGGTGAATACCACCTTTGGTTTTGACCCATTGAAACTTAATTTTGTCTTGCTTATTGGCATCTACCTCTTGCAAATCCAGGTTATTTATATAAATTTAATGAAGAGAAAGAGCCCCAAACAGAGGCTTAAAAGACTCCAGCAGAAACTTTCCATGATAACTTATTTGACTTTAATTCTATTAAATGTAATTCCTGCTTTATAAATACCTGGTTACTCATACCTGCATCGCTACTCCCCCTCCCAATTTCTCTAGTGATCAACTGCTCTTTCTGAAGTTCACCCTCAGTGTTGTTTTCTTTATTGTTTCCAAAGGTGTATAGTGGAGAAAACTGTTCATGGGCAGACTGTGTTCAAGCTTACAATTTCTGAGAAAGAGACAGTGTTTTATTATCGCACTATAAATGGGCTGCAGCTACCGATAAAAGTAATGACACTGAGGAGAATTCTGGTGAAGAAATGGAATCATCTTAGCGTGCAGGTGAGTTAAATAAATAAATAACCTTTAGCATCAGTATTAAAGTCTTATATTATATGAGAGGGGCACCTCTGAACAAATGTTAAAGTGGTAGAATTTAACTTAAAATATTATGATAAAGTGGGGGGACAAAGGATGATACATTTTTTATTTCAAACTGCATTCCCTAACAGAGTTTTAACAATGACCAGTGTTCATTCCTGCATATAATATCCATCACGGGATTGTAAAGCAAGCAAGCATAGCAGTAAAAATAGGTATTGAAATATTTCACAAGATACTTAGCTGTGCTGAACATAGCATTTGCCTTATTAAAAAAAAGTTCTAGGTTGAATGAGAAGAAATAAAGTTCCTGGATTAAAATACCTAACAAGTAAGAGATCAGTACTATCGTGTGTAATAGCCACCACTCAAAATGCCATTTGCATTAACAGCACATACCTAAACTTCAGTACTTTTCAGATTCCAAATGTCATTTGTTAGGGGGAAGAAAAGCTTGTGTACAGAATGTTGGGCATCCTAGATGGCTTTTAGATGTTCAAAATAATGAAACTATTCCTCTGGCCGAAGGACACAGCTACATATAACTCATAATCAATCATTAGTGTCATACTCAGTGAGTTAGTGTCTCCTTTGGGGCTGACATAATAGCACATAAAATTGAAAGCTGACCTCTGTACTGGTACTATGAGCACATGCCATGAAGTAGTAGTATTCAGCAGCTCCACCATGAACCTAGAGGGTCTAAAATTAGCATAAGGGCTTAGATCTAAAGGTTCTATAGAATTTATTAACTAGATATAAGGTAAAAACTAAAGAGGGGATAGGACATTCTATGCAAGGAATATGGGATTACAATGATACATAAGGGCCATGTGGTGCTTCAGACTAGCTTCCAGAAAGATGCTTCAGAACAGATGCAGCACCCATCTATATCTCTTTAAAGCAGCTTTATCAATTCATTTGTTTTAAAGGGTTGCAGAAAAATTCTATTTTTCAAGTTGCTATGTTCTCCAAAGCACTTTTTTGGAATCTAAAAATCTAAAGCATCACATAGCCCTACTGTGTTAGTAGTGGATATCATGTAAAATTAGATTATTTTGCTGTTTTCCTAATGTTTGTTTATATATTTCCCTTCATAAATGAATAAAGGAATCATGAACTTTGAAGAGTCTTAACAGATCTATGTTGTCATTTGCACTTCTACCAAAACTAGAGTGAAATGGATCATCTATAGAACTGCCACTTGGGAATGTCTTATTACATATTCAGTAACACTAATTAGTTAATAATATTCATATTAGCTTTTATTTTGCTCAATCACATTTGCATAACTTTGCCATGTTTTGGCAGTGCCACATTAAAAGCCTTAGAAAGGAAGTTTAAATGCAAAATGTAAAGAGGTAACTGGATTTCAATTACCCCTTTGGGAGATAAATGCTCTTAGAATGCCTATTGAAATCAGCATTATCATTTCAATACATGTCAGATATGAGCCTTTGTTTTAGTTTGGGCAACATTTCTTTATAAATCTTTAAATCTTCTAGTTCTTTCAAGAAAAGGTTAAAGTACTTATGATTTAATGAGACCACTTTACATCATAACTGTTTGACTATCAAGAGAAAACTTATCCTTTCCAATTGGTAAATTCTTCTTTTTCCTTCTTCTCTGGAATGTTTTGGGGACTCTGTATTTTATGCTTAATGACAAGCGCATGACAATTTCAAGCATACAGAACAAAACATTTACATCTTCATTACAAGTATGGATTGAAAAGGAAGAACTGCAGTCTCAGGCTCACAAAACTTGCCATCAAGGATTTCTCTATAACTGCATTTTTATCAAAGACTCCTGAGCAACCGTTGTGATCATGGGAAAGGAGGACCTGTCCTTCCATAGATTGTGAACTAATTAAAAATAGAAAGCAAAGAATAGCAATTAATGAACAACTTTCTCAATGGAGAAAAATAAGAAGCACACTACTTCAAGGATCTGTGTTAGAATCAAGTGTTTTTTAATTTGTTCTAAAATATTGTCTTATAAATAATCAGTGAGATGGTCAATTAGACCATAATAGAAAATATTCACTGTGGCAAACATTAAAAGTAAGTTCTCACCTCAGTAGATTTCTGATTATACATTCATATGTGTTTATTTTTTTTCTCTCCTCTTCTCCTCTCCTCTTCTCCTCTTCTCTTCTCTGCTCTGCTCTTTTCTTTCTCTTCTCTGATCTTCTCTTCTATGCTCTTTTCTCTTTCTCTTTCTCTTTCTCTTCTCTTTCTCTTCTCTTTTCTTCTCTGCTCTTCTCTTCTCTTCTCTTCTCCTCTTCTCTCCTCTCCTCTCCTCTTTCTCTTCTCTTCTCTGCTCTTCTCTGCTCTGTTTTTTCCCTTCCCTTCCCTTCCCTTCCCTTCCCTTCCCTTCCCTTCTCTTCTCTTCTCTTCTCTTCTCTTCTCTTCTCTTCTCTTCTCCTCTCCTCTCCTCTCCTCTCCTCTCCCCTCCCCTCCCCAGACTCAATTTCACTACAGTTTTTATGATGGTTGTTAAGTGATTTGCCATGATCATTAAATGAACCACATACTAGTGAGGGCAAACCCATTTTATCCAATGGGTGTTTCCCATTTTCCCAACAAAAAATATTGCAAAACACAGTCATGTGACCAAGGGAGACCAGTGGTAAATGCGAGCCTGTTGCCAAGCACCTGAAATGTGAATGTGTGATGGTAGGGATCGTGCTACAGTTATAACTTAGAGGACAAGTCATAAGTAAATTTTTGTAAGTCCATCTAACTTCAAACAGTTGTTAAGTGACATAACAAGGACTATGTGTTTGCCATTCATTTGCTTAATGGCTGACAAATAGCGAAAGCATTAAAATGTAAGTGGTACAGAACACAAAAGCTAAAACAGTGGTTTTACAAGGTCATTGAAAATAAATACGTTTTCCCTCTGATTTTAAATTTAGTAAGCAGTAAGCAGGGGCCTTGCTTCAACTACAGTGGCAGTTTATTCTACTTTATAAGCCTGTACCATGAAGAAAACTTAAATTTGTTGTTGACATCAAAGCTAGCCTAGGACCAATAAAAAACAGACCACTAATAAACAGAGTATGTTGGGTAGACAGTAGGGAAATGACTCATGCTTTAAATAGCTTTGATCTAAGCCATGTGTTTCACTTATTTTGGAATTTACATTTTAAAATTGGTTTTCTCACCCACTGTTTTATTTATTTATTTATTGTATTTGTCCAGCATGTAATTGATAACATGTATAAGTATAAACATAATTATAAATTCATGAAATGGATACAAATAAAAAGGAACATTAAGACAGGAAAGGTAGGCATATTGGTGCACTTATGCACAGCCTCTTACAGACCTCTTAGTAATGGGAGTGAGGTCAACAGTAGATAGTCTAAGATTAAAGTTTTTGGGGTTTGGGGAAGAAACCACAGAGTTTACTTATTTATTCACTTTACTGTATACTAGAAGCAGTTAATGGATAGCACCAAACAGGCCACTTTTGAACCCAGAATATGATCTAAAGCAAGAAGTAAATAGAAAACGTTTAATTCAATCTTGCAGAGAAGCTTATCACTAGCTTCTTGTCGCTTATTATTATTCCTATTAAACTTGGTGTGTATTTCTTGGAACATAGTCTGTAAACCACAGATAGGACTTTAGGAATTGGATCAATGATCTATATATACTAGCTGTGTATCTGTCTCATCTATCTAATTATCCAAAAGATATTAGTTTGATGTTGTGGAGGAAGTGTTGACCTAGAAATCAGGCCAACCTTGGGCATGAAAACTGACTGGGTGACTTTGGCCCAGTCATTATCTCTCTTGACCCAGCTCAGTTAATAATGATGTGGGGAAAATAGGTAGCAGGAGTATTACTTATGTTCATCAACTTGAGTTAAATATATAAAAAGGCAGGATAAAAATGTTATAATAATAAATAATATCACAAAGATATTTTAAAAATCAATAACAGTTAAATAGCTTGTAGCTTCAAAATAACTTCATACTCTATATTCATAAATGCAGCCTAAACACAAGTCATATAGAGAAAATAATGTAAAGTAGATAAATGAACAGAAGTGGTCAGAGCATAGAATTTCTTTTAGAGTCACAGTGACAGAAAGTAGGTACTGGGCAATTTCTATAGTATCCTCTATGGCAAAGAAGTCACATTATTTTTGCATTGGGTAGTTGTGGGTATTATGTAGATCTAAAATCACAAAATAATTTTAAAGTGATATAGTAGAAAAATATTTAAATTCAGTTCTTTAGGGATATATATGTATTCAAGACCTGCATCCTTCACCAATTAGTACGCAAAGATTTATTTTGAAAACTAGAGTAACTAAATACTGCAGGCTTTATACAGCCCAATAATAAATCCTGCAACAGATTAAAGTCACCAAATCATATATTACCTTAATTGGATGAAATAATATTGTAGGACTTATCCTGATGATGTGCTGTACCCAACAACATGCCACCAGATCACATCTCCTACAAATAGTTCTACCAAAATTATAGTAATTGGTTCTTAAATCACAATTTCAGGAATATTAGATTCCTATTCCCCAATTATTCCTGGAGAGCTCATGACAATGTTAGACCTTTTAACATTGGCCAGCCAGTAGTATGGGCCAGGATTAACCATGGTGGCCAGTTAGTGTGTGTGTGGGGGGGGGGGGGGGAATCTCCACTCCTGATGCTTTATCAGTGGGTTCAATAATCAAGAGGCTTGCATTTTCAGCCACCGTTTTTTCTCCAATTCTTTTTTTCCAGAGGTCAGTGGACTAATTTAAGATGTTCCCATGACAGGCCTGATTTGGGTAGAATTAATTTAACCCTCTAGAAAACTGGGTTTGTTTGAGACTAAATTAAATGCCATTAGAGATTAATAAGGTTCTTATTCATCGTACACATTGTTTTGTTATTTTTGAAATATTCCTCTGCATTGAATAGATCTTTGCAAGTTGTTCATAAA